GCCCCGCCCCGTCACTTCCCCCACTCGCCGACTGCGTCTCCCGCTCGCCGCCTGGCGCACACAGCTTCAACCGGCTGAAGGAGAGAGATAGGTGTACGTATAGATAGATAAATAAGTAGGTGGGCACACAGGTATTTAGGTAGATAGATAGATGGAAAGCTGTAATGATAAAAAGGTGTATATATAGATAGTCAGATAATCAGACAGACAGACAGACAGATGGATAGATAGATAGATAGATAGATAGATAGATAGATAGATAGATAGATAGATAGATAGATAGATAGATAAAATAATATAATGATATTACATTACATAGGTGAGAAATACATAGATAGAAAAAATAGATAGATGTAGATAGGAAGATATAATAATAATGAGATAGATAGATGATTGATAAATAAATAGATAAATTGTTAGGTACAACGAAATAATGATAATAAGATAGATATAAAGATAGATGTAAAGATAGGTAGACAATGATAATAAGAGAGGTAGATGGATGGGTGGGTAGATAGATAGTTATAATGATAATTCGAAATATCTAAAGATTAGCAGATAGATCAATAGATGCGGAATTTTATTCTACAATAGGGCTTATGTTTTCCAGTGGCAGAAAGAGAAATATAAACTGTATTTAGTAGTACAAGTTCATTGTGAACTAAATTTACAATAGAATTATATATAAAAATCATAAAACCCGTCTGAGAATAAAATCCGTGAAAACGATGTGAAACGTCTTTACTTTCTTTAGAAATCATAAGAATTAACGGCCACATTCTGTATCACCTGCTTTCTCCATCTGTCCATGGCTTGTTCTAGAGTTCCCAATCACCCTCTCTGGCGCATGCAGTTGAGCTAATTTCTTAAGTCTACCGTGTCTACGTGTGAAGTCTACCGTCTACGTGTCTCCGGTTACCCTTCTTTTTACTTTCTAGAAGACTACTTACGTAGTATAGAAAAATGTATTGCTATCCTGCGGCAAGAAACGTGATTTTTCGAAAGAAAAATACGTATCGTGATGCCAAGAAATCGAAAAAAATTGTTATAAAATACAAAAAGAAACATCTTGTGCCTGTACCTAGTAAATTATTTCCTGTATGACGTGGTGGATGAAAATTCACGTTTTGGGGGTCACGGCATCGAAAAATTGGATGATGGCATCTGTTCGCTGGTGGTCAACAACGCTAGTGACTAAACCGTAGACAAAATTTTTACCAAAACTGAATTTTCCTGATTCGTCTTGGCCAGGAACGGATCCAGCCAAGGGGGGGGGGGCGATTTTTTTAAAATAATGAACATACAAGTATGTATTTATTATATTGTATATTATTTTTGTAGTGCATATATGATACTATACAATATTATTGTTTAAATAACAGCATAATTTTAACATAAATCAATATTGAAATGAATTTTGCCAAATAAAAGATGGTAACAAAGAAAAACTACAGTCCTTTTGGTCTATGGACCATTTGCACCCCCCCTGGATCCGGCACTTGTCCAGGTGATGTTACGGCCCCTTGAATTTGCAATAGATAATTTAATTTTTGGGTTTATTACATGACGCCCCTGGAATATTTTTAATTTTTCTCAAAAATTAAACCAATTTTTGCTTTTAATTTATACCTTGAATAGAGGAAAGTCCGATTATAAAAATGACACAGTTATTGTTTTTGTTGAATTCTTTACACTTTTGAAACGTGCAAATGCTTAAAATTTGTCGTTGTCTTCCTAGAACTACAATAATTCAGAAGGGAACTTTTTCCTAATAAAATGTGTTCTTCTTTAAATACGATCATCTATATTTTTTTCGACATGCAAAAAGGTTTTGCGCAATTTTGAGAAGTTTGTTTAGCAATTTTGAGGCATGATTTTCACAAAATAGGCTCTTTTTTCCGATACTGCTCACAAAAATGGCGTGGGTCCGATTTTCATTGAAGTCTATGAACTTCAGTGCATTACAAAAGTTACAAACAATACGAGAAAGTTTGTGCTGCTGTAGCCCACCAGTTTTACGCATGAATACGTATGAAGCTTTTAAAAAAGCTTTTCCAGGTTGCCGCCAAATATTGTATGCAAATATTGATGTTTTCCTATGTTAAACTGTGTTCGAAAATCAATGAATCTGATCTTTTTTTAGAATTCGAATCCCGGCGATGGTTGAGTTTCGACTCTAATGGGAGTAAGATAATACAGTCGAAGAAAGGGGAAAAAGGAATGAGGAAAGAAAGAAAAAGGAATGAGGGGCGGAGGAGAGGGGAGATAAAGAGAGAAGCGGCCGAGGAATGAGAAATATAGAGAGGAGAGAGAATGAAATAATGCAGATGAAGAAAGAGAAAAGGAAATAATAAAGAAGAGAGAGGGAAGGAGGGGAACAGAAGAGAGAGACAAAGAGTCAGAATGAGCGGAGAGAGAGAATGAGGTAAGGAAAAAAGAAAAGTATAAGCAAGAGAGAAAAAATAAAAATTAAGGAATAGACGGGAAAGACCAAAATAGTGAGAAATAAAGGAGAGAGAGAGAATGAGAATATGAGAATGCAGATGCAGAGGAAATAAAATAATAATAAACAGATGGAAAGAAAAAGAAAGAAATAGACGTAAGAAACATGTGATGAAAGTGTGATGAAAGGGAGGGGGTAGAATGAGAGAATACCGTTGAAGAGAACGGATAAAAGGAAAGAATAAGATAGAGGGGTCGAAAAAGAGAAAAATAGAAAAAAGAGAAAAAAATTGAGAAAGAGAAAAAGGACGATTTAAAGAGAGAAATAGAGGAAGAGAGAGAATGAGAAAGAGAGAAATAGGAAGGGAGAGAGAGGGAGAGAGAAATAGAAAGAGAAAGGGAGAAAGAGAGAGGGAGAAAGAGAGCAATAGAAAGAGAGAGAGAAAGAGAGAGGAAGAGAGAGGAAGAAAGAGATAAATAGGAAGAGAGAGAGAAAGAGAGAGAAATAGAGAGAGAGGGAGAGGGAGAGAGAGAAAGAGAGAGACAGAGAGAAAGAGAGAGGCAGAGTGAGAGAGATGTAGGGACGGGGGGAGGGAGGGAGGGAGGGAGAGCGAGTGCGGCGCCCCTGGAAACGCGCTGCGAGCTCCCCTTATCGATCGAAGCGTTGCTCAGTCGGAGGGGGAGCGCAGCGTTCTCTGCGATTCACGTACATAACACGCACTGCCACCGCCACCCCCGGCAGGCCCCGCCACCGCCGCATACTCGCACATCGGCCACGCCGCAGCCAGGTTGCAGGAATGCAGGTGGAACTGAAAAAAACAACAACGAAAATTGACGTTTGAGGAAAATCGATTCAAAATTAGTTGTTTGTTACAGACATGCTAAGTCTCCTGGAGCGAGGTTTCAAGTGCAGAGACCAAGTCCGATGAAGTATGAAAATAAGTTTAATGAAAATAGAACTGCAGAGCAGCGTGAAGTTGATGCAACTGTGTCTCTCGGCTGTCTGTGTCGTTATCAACGCTAGAGAATCATTTTATAGAAAATTGGGAAATATATGAGGCCATTACACCATCCCTGCCCGAACTCTACATGTCTTGGAAGTAATAAACAAACATTTCTGTCCCAGTACTATTCTCCCATTCTCATAAGTTCCGATTCTTTCCCATTTCCACAATTTGCCCCCTCGTTGGCGTTGACATCGGTTTTGGGACCCTCTCGTAAATATGTTTAAGACGAAGATAATTCTTCACAGCGCCTGCTTCGGACATCCCAACTCAGATAACTTAGAAAAGCGATATTTCGCTCGCGTATCCATTGCTTCTCTTACGCAATACCTTATATACTCTTGTACGCAGGTGCGTTTAGCATTTCAAAGAATATTCATTACACTAACTAACGGAACTAATGTCCATAGTAGTTGACATGCCGGAAACATCAATCAATCAATCAATCAATCAATAAATCAAAGAGAGATTGAAAATCTCGTTTCTCCCTTAGCAATCTCGCAAAGCAGGCGGTCTACCGGAGTAAAGTAAACTACAGGCTCGGATAAATTTGCATTACGCGTGAATTCGCAGGATCACTGAGTTTTGAAACATTCTGTATTATATTTTCCCTCATAGCGATCTCTGCAAAGTAGTCTGTGTACCGGAACAAAGTAAACTACATGCGCAAATAAATTTGCATTACTCATTAATTCACGGGACCACTGAGTTTTGAAACGTTCTGTATTCATTTAATCCGCGTGAGCTTCACTCTTTTGTTTCAAACAAAACAAAAGCGAATAATCGTCAAAGCGGGGGAGAGTTCGGAGTATTTGTAGCATGTATTTTTGATATGTGCGTGAGATCGCACAATATTTTGTTTTTTATCGCCGTCGCCTACCCCTCCCCTCACAAGCCGTTCATTTTCCATCGAAAACCGCTCGTGTTGTCTTCGCGCAGGTTTTGTTTTCTTTTATGTGAAAAAAGTTTGCAGAGCAGTTAGTTATCGCTGCAATAAATTTATTCGGTGATCAATCATGTGATCATTGATTTTTCGAAGTGAATTTCGGAAACTCAAACGTGGTGATTTAGATGACGTTGGTTACTTGAACTTTCTCGTATATGTGTCCTGTAGTATTATGTAGTCCTATGAAAAAAAACTTCGAAATTTTGACGCAAATACGTTTAGACAAAGATCTCACCGGATTTCGAATTTTAGATAACGAGTATATTGAACTTTGAAAAAAAGAGTAGATTTTTCGTCTAATTTTGTAAACTAGCGCCTCAATCGCACGAATGATGTGTTTTATAAGAGATATGCTCTGAACCCTGAACCCAATTATCATCCTGCAGTTGTGAAATATTTTTTTAAGAGGAGCTAAGACATATAGCTTCGAAAAGCTATATTCTCCAAATTTGTTCAAAATGGTTACTGACTTTTTTCCCAAAAATATTTGTATGAAAGCAGTCATTTATTTTATCTATTAGGGAACTGAAAATTTAACAAATAGTTTTCGGTCATTCAAGTTACTTAAAATATGGATATTGCATGTACGAATTAATTGAAAAATTGAGTTGTATTCTAGTCTATTTGTTTAAGGGTAAGGGTTATTCATTGAAAAGGGTTCTATATCACGTAAAACAATAAAACTGTTGTATTTCATTCTGATATACACATTCGGGGTGAAATACCCACTAGTGTAGAATATTTGCCTTAAGAGGTGGGTCTTTAAAGATGTGGTTCATTTAAATAGTTTGTTGCGTTAACACAAGTTTTAAGGTTTTTTAAATACCCGAAATATTTGTAGTGTAACGTAGCAATATAATTATTAGTATTTTTGGTAACCGTTAACAATAATTCGAAAACTTCTATGCTTTGTAATACCATGACTATTTTTTTATGTTTTCTTCGGTGGAAATTCTGAAATATAACATTCGTTGAGAGTGACGGTAATGGAGAGAAAGATATTGGGTACATAAAGACGGAATGAGGAAACAAACAGAGAGAGAGCGAAACAGAGTGAAAATAAGAGGCAGAGAATAAAACATCTGGAGTAAGAGAAAAGAGAAATCTCAAGAGACGGAGGGGCAGAATGAGTAAATAAGTAGGAATTCAGAATAAGTCAGAGACAAACAGGGACAGGCTTATACAATAAGAGCCAGAATAGGCAGAGGCAAACAAAGACAGACGTAGACAGACGAAGACAGAGAAATATAGATAAAACAACGCCGTAAAGAGAAAGAGAAACGGATGGAAAGAAATGTGCAAATGATCAGCAAGAGCCAGGGAGACAGACGAAGAGAGAGTGGGACACAAACAGAAAAAATAGAAGCGAGCCAAGGAGGACAGTAAAGGAGGGGGGAGATGTTAAATGGAAAATAGAGACCAGAGGGGCCCAGAAATGTAGTTATTCACTCCTCTTGTTTTAGACTTCATTCGCCTATTCTCCAATTTAAACATTGTGACACATCAAGGTCCCGAACTGACCGGAGAGGGGGACATTGCCATCCAATCAGAAGCTTCGCTAGGACTTACATTTTTTATACTGGATCTCCCGATTAGAAGATACCGTCCCCGTCTCCTTCCAGCTCGTGGCTTCGAAATGCCACTATGTTTAAATCGGGGTATATAGAGGGAACGGAAGCCGTAGGTCTCTCGAGTAAAACCCTCGTGGAAACGAACAGGAAGTCGTAGGTTTCCTTAGTACAAGGCCGAGGCAAAGGTACGCTCTGTTACGGGACAAGCGACGTATGGGGAGCGACACTTCCTTTCAGTAGCAATCTGTTCCGCGTCGCCCGCCGCCACCGCGGCTAAAATACGAGGCACTGTTCGCAACACGCGATTCCTTTGTCAAGGCACAGACGGTAAACACACGGGACGTGAGACGGACGCGACGGGATGCAAGGTTCGTCCTTACCGTGGTGAGGATGAGAGTCTTCGTCGATGGCGGCTTGTAGAGTTTAGAAGGAAAGGGCCACTCGCAGAATAAGAGACAAAAGTAAATCTTAGAATAGAGCTCATCGGAAAGGCGGTTCGGGAGAAAACAGCTGCCAAATAAGTACTTATGTCTTCTTCAGACGAACACCGATTGCATCACGCGGACAAATCTTCCAAAGCATTTCTCTCCCCCCACCCCCCAAAAAAAGGCACTGCCCGATTGCATTCCACGGTCAATTTTTAAGCCGTTTTCAAAAAAGACCTTTCCAAAAACGCATAACTCGATTGCATCCCGCGGTCACGTCTTCCAAAGCTTTTAACTACTCTCCCCAAAGAAAGCATAGCCCGATTGCATTCCACGATCAATTTTAAAGCCTTATACCTAACGTAAAAAAACATAAAGCGATTGCATCCCGCGATCAAGTCTTCCAAAGCCTTTAACTCCCCCCCAAAGGCATAGCCGCATTGCAACCCACGGTCAATTTTTTAAACCTTTCCAAAAAAACCATAACACGATTGCATCCCGCGGTGTCTTCCCAAGGTTTTTACCTACCTCTCTAAAAAGGCGTTGTAAAGACAAATGGTCAGAGGCCTCTGTGACACGAGCGGGGCCGAATGAAACTACCGTGAATTGCATCGACGAATACATTAATTCCTGCTTGAACTCGAGCACGGTACAGTACTGGATGAAGAATGTGTACACCTATTCTTGGAAGACCATAGTTTTATGCGTAGTGATTGAGCTTCATTAGATGGTGCATAGATTGCTGTCTTTTGGTACAGTCTGGTCACCTGCATACTTAAAACGCTAAAGTTAGATGATGGTTTATTACTTCTTAGAAGACGGGTTGATTAGAATATTACTCCCCCTCACGAATACATTAAAACAGATTTAAGTCGAAAAATGTAGAATTCGGTAGGTGATTTTATAAACAAAGCGAGCGCATATACAATTTGATACACATGCCATGGTGTAGCTACATATGAGGAGCGTTCATGGAAAAACAAACCTGTCCATTGGAAAACAAATTGAGTTAGCGTTGCAGTAATACGCATGACCGCCAGCTGCATATTCTGTCCTGATGTCGAGGAGCAAAAGAAAATATATCTCGAATAAATTTACTTGTAACCATACGAGGTTTAGATAAAAGCCAATATGTCCACCGCGTTGTTGCAAGCAATAAAGGACATGTCCGTGTAACAAAAAAGATGGAAGGATCACGATCACATGACTACTAATGCCGTATAGTTCATTCTGTCTGTGAAGTCTTCACACAGCTTCCTATTTTATTTATTAGAAGATTGGGATCACAAGGACACAAAAACCTTGAGTAGTGTAAGCAAGAATGTATACAACATCATAAACGTGATGCAATTCAGTATTCAGGAAACAATGAAAGGGAAGAAGATTCATACAGTTAAAGTTATCTCAGAGCAATATTTTAGATATGATGAAGTTCCTGCTTTGACCCTTGGAAACGTGTTTTATGCTGTTGTTTTTCATTAAAAAATATGGTACAATTTAGCCTTAAGCAGGTTCACTTAAAAGGTGTACACCATTGGCAAAAATATATAATGCACCATGTCTATTGACTGAACTTTAGGAAATAAGTGGATTAAATGCTTCAGATACTCCTGGTCTGGAATGGTTTTCCTTTTTTTTTTTTGTTGTACCAACAGTTGAAAATCAAACTATAATAGATCACAAAGAATTGAAAGATAATTGTGATTGTTCAGAAGCTGATCATGGATTACGCATATTGATTTTAATTTTTTGTGATTTAATACGAGGGCCAAAAAGTTTTTATATCAACTACAGAAATTATTGTAGTAGTTTTGCCTGCTTGCAAAAATAAAATATTTGCATATAAACTGCTGTAAAATAATT